TGTGCCTCAGACAGCCAGAGAGTTAATATTACATGTAAGCTGTTAGTACACCTGCCTATCTTAGTGGTATCATTGAGGTGGGAAGGAGCTGCCACAAGCCTTTTTTGCTTCTGTTGGCTACATCAAAGTGATTGACATTAGTCCTCTCCTATGTTAAAATTGCTCAGGCACTGATTTGTAAAAATACCTATGTCGCAACCCGACAGCACCGCATTCCTTGCTCCTTAAGGACACGCTGGCTGGCAAACTCTCTCACCCATGGTTCTGGGCAGGAGCCATCTTCCTACAAACTGCTCAGGACTCTGTTCACTGTGCACTCACTCTGCCTAACCCCTCTCTGAAAGGTGTTTTCAGGGAGAGGTCCTCTTCCTCTTGAAGCTAACAACCTTTTTCTTTTCCCCAGAGGTCAGGATTTTCACATCTTGGACTGTTTCCCTTGTTTTCCTCTTGATTCTTACTCTTTGGGCCATGTTTCTTTGAAGCTCAACACCTAAACCTGGTCTAAAACTCCAGCTTGGGCTTGGCTATGATTAGGCAAAACTGGTATGTTAGTCCAGGCTGCGTTCCTGTTTACACACCCTGGTATCTGCCTTATTCACAGTGCAGGGCATTTGACTCATGCTTCTGACTGCCCATAACTTCCTGATCCCACTCCTTATCTACCATTTTCCACCAGTATCAGTGCAGTTAATTACTCTCACCTAGATTAATTATTTGCAGCCTCTGTTGCCCAGACTTTCTTTCAGTTTTCCTGATGTTGCTATGAATTTCAGCCCTGCGCTTTTCCATGTTCCCAGAGTTTCTCCTCCAGGTGGGACTTGCAGATTGTTCTCTGTTCCAACATTTGTGTCACTGATCAACTACTTACGGTCCTGGACGTACGGTAGGCCTCTGAGGAATCCAGTCGTTCAGCTGGACAGTCACTCTAGTAGTGTCTAAATAAGCAGGTTCAAACTCAGCCATGTTGCTTTAGCTTCTTCAGAAAGTCATGAGAAGACTCACCAAAAGCCTACAAACTTTCCGTCACTCTTCATCATAGCTACTACTGCACTACTACTAAATATTTCCTAAAAAAGGTAGCTGCTGCTTTTTCTTCCTGATTTTGGAGAAGCAGCTGAAAAATATGACTTAAGCACACCCAAGGCAGCTGATGAATGAAACATGTAAGACAGGATTAATGAAGAAGAGAGGAAAAACTAGAGTGACATCTATTTTAGTGTCAACATTGAAGTGCAGAGCAATGAACCCCAGTGCTAGCAGCTGGGCAATTTCAGTTCTTTACCACTTGGTTGCTTAGCTGAACAGGGTGGCAGGATTTAGCCCAAGAAAAAGATCAACTAGAAATTGCACTTCTCCTTTCTGGCCACACGATGTACCCATCACACCACGAACAGCCTGGCCGGACTGCCAGCAGCAGGAGACACAGCCACAAAGGCAGGTGTTTCCAGTTTCTATATTCCCCCCCGAGAATCTCCTTACCTCTATCCAGGCCCTCTAAAACACCCACGCAGATCCAGATCAGGGCTAGGTCCCGTGGTGCAGGGGGGGACAAATGGGATGGAGTTGGTGTGGTCCAGACGCTTTGCCTTTCCTCTTGTTGGATGAAGGTGACACATCACTGTGAAAGAAAAACAGAAGCCAGCTGTTCAAGAGGTGGTGGCAGCTTTCCATCAATGTGAACTATAATGGGAAGCGAATAATGTGGATTAATTTTGCTTTTTAAATGTGAGATTTTACTGCTGCTTTCAGTGGGGAATGTAAGGTATTTAATTGTCATTCTAATTGCTGGGACATCTTGGCCCTTCATATGTTGTATTTGTATGTTGTCCTGAGCAGAACCGAGAGGCTCTTCAAAACCAGAGCTAGGATCTGCAGGAACCATTTGTCAGCACAGAAGTTTAAAAAAGAAATATTGGGACTGGCATGAATGAAAATCTGCTTATGTAAGCATTAGAAGAAATAGCAGAGCAGGGGGGTTAAGATCAGCTTGTATTCGTAACAAATAACATCACTCCCAACAAAAAATTTGAGCCTATGTTGTTGCTGTCAAGCCCAGAAGGTCTGCACACCAAGAAGGCCATAGCACACCCAACTCATTTGTGGAAAACCCTCCTCTCTGATAACAAGAAAGTAGCAGCATATCGCATCTCCCAGTCCTTCTGGCAGCCTAGCTGGAAGAGACACTCCACAAAAGGACCACCCCAAAAAAACCCTACTGATTCTTAAATATTATTAAAGAACTGTCCCAAAACTGAGAGGTTTAGTGAAGATTTGACAGCCATCTTCCCTTGTTCTGTATGTTGCATGCAAGTGATCAGGGCCAGATCGCTTGAACAACCATGTCTCATCACTTGTGAGTGAATGAATTCTATAAGAGAACGAGTGCAGGCAGGTAAAATCAGCTGAAAATGTAAATAAATACCGTAGTCCCTTTCTGTAAGATCTGTACTGAGTTTGGCCACAGTGGTTTCCTACCTCAGCAAGAATGGTACTGTTATAAGGACAACGTCCGGTGCCTTCAGGACACTCAGTGAGTCAAATTACTCGAGCCAATTAACGATGCAGTACCAGGAAAGTTTAATCATAATGATTTGGCTGCTGTTAGTTGGAACCTACTTGGTTTGCAAGATTTGAGTTGTGAATGTGTGTAGGCCTCCCTCAAACTCTACTAGCTGTAGGCATCACCATCTAATTATACACTAGCACACCATGATGAAGAGAATCCAGATCTGCCTGATTGTGTACATGTTTTGGTGATACAGTAATTACAGTAATTTACATCGCATTGCCAATCACTATCCTGTGGAGAGGGTGCAGGTCCTGTTACCCAAGCCTGTGGAGTGGCTTTATGATGCATCTTTGGTCTGTGGATTCAGAGCCAGTTTGTAATTTTCCTGGTCCCTGGTATATATTTTGACAAACCCAGCCTTTACTATCATGAGGATAACTTTCAAAATGTGGAAATAAATTCCAGCTGCTACCCTACTTGCCCAGCCTAAAACCACAGATATCCTCCGTAGCGTGATGGCTCAACTTTGACATCAGAGATGCAAGAACTTGCAAGAATAGCAAGTTAGCTGTAAGCTCACCAAGCTATTATCATGCACATCACAGCTCATGAGACTCCTGAGAGGTACAACATACTTGTATGCCCACTTGAATGCTCATAATGGGAAGATAGCAGAGGTTTGATTTTCAACATGCTAACGTTAATCTACCTATCTGGAAGATGATCCATTAGCACAGCTGTACCACACAACCCGTTCAACCCCAATCATTCATTTCACAGCAGAACAAAATGGTGTTGTCTTCTGTTTAACTCACTCACAAAGCACTTCCCTATACCTATCTTAATCAGACAAACTAGGGATTAAAAAAAAAAAAGACTAATCTGCTCCTTGGCCACAACTGCATTTCCTCTGCAAATATTAAGTTACAACAATAGCAGAGGTTTTCGTTATAAATTTATTTTTAAATGCTTTTCTTCATGTGAACTAAACAAACGTGTCACCTGCCTAGAGCTTTTTGGAAGGAAGAAGTGGGAAGCATTTTCCTGAAAACTCTATTCCTCTTGAAAAATGATGAAATTGTTAAGAAATTGGAAAGCATGTGGCCAGGCTGTTACGTGGTGGTAGAAAACCAAAATAAAGTCATTGAACTTTAATTAGAACTTCTTCCAGCTTTTATCTCTTTATTGAAACATCGTAAAGAAACTTTATCTATTTTGTTTGGAGTTAGTAATAATGCCTAGCAAGCTCTAATAATATCTTGCTTGAGTCAGCTGGGACTTAGTCTAAGGCTTGACTGAGTTCTCATTACAGACAGGCACTCACTGAGCGTTTTTCCATGGGTCTCACCAGGCTTCATGTGTTTCAAACGGCGAGGCATGACAGCTCTGGCAACCACTGCTTACCTCAGAAGATTTCAGAAAACCTGCTTGTTCTAGGCAACAGCCACCTCTGTATCCAAAGCTGACATTTGAATGGCTAGGGGCTAAGGTTCAAGAAGGCTTTCTCTGTTAGCTCGCTGGTCTAGCGCTCCTCCAGGTATCTCCTTGGGGTTTCAGCTAGGAAGCAAGAAGGCAAAGACACAACCATGGGGTCAGAGAGGCTTTTTGGAAACCACTACATCAATGGTTTCGTAAAATTCACATACCAAGACACAATGCCAGTCACAATTTGCAAGGCATACATTGGTAGGTCCCTCAAACTATACTTCTTCTGGTGCTTGCAATTCTTGCAAATTTTGCACCCTTGTTTATTACTATTCTGGGACCAGAATTTAATGCTTGAAACTAACCAAGCTACATTTATGTAGTAGATTTTTTTCAGGATTTGTGGTATTCTGCATTGTGCATCTCAGGATAAAATCTACCCTACGGAGACATATGAGCTTTTAATGGAAAAGCAGCATCAAAACCACTTTGACAGCAAACCCAGGCCCTCAATTCTGGAACTGGCACACTGCTCAGACTGACTGCATGTGTCCAATGCAAAATTACTCTGAACTTACCAGTCCAGTTGCCTACTGCAAAGGATTTGCTAGATGATTTCTCCCACTCCTCAATCCTCCTCCAGGGAACAAAGTCTGTTTGCTTGGCAGAATAGGCAGCAGGTCTGTCTGGTAGCCCTCGTACTCCACTATGGCACACGTCGACAAAAAAGACCTGCTATTTTGAGCTCCCCCAAGGCCCCCACCCACAACAGAGCTGAGTGCCTGTGCAGAGGCCTTGGAGACATACTACCTTGTGTAGGCTTGGCCTGGGCCCGAGGGGAAGGGGTTAAATGGAGTGATTAGCTGATAATCAGTGACACCGGCATGCCAGTGAAGGGCATGATCTGGGAAAGTGGACCCAAATACCAAGTTACACAATTCTCATTCCGGGGCATTTCCAAAGGAGTCGCAGAGAATTTGCCAGCTGCCCAGGCAAGGCTGATACACCTAAAAGGCTGGGTCTTCTCCAAACAAAGATGGAAACATGAATTCTATTCAGCATGATTTTATTTCAGATTGAGAAGCTACACGAAGAGAGAACAAATATACATTTCCATGAGCGAAGGGAAAAAGAGAGAGTGCATCCTATTGTGCCACCTTCCTAGCACAACAAACCACCTCAACCTGAGCCACAGGACTGCTTTCTCCCCAGGCAGGCAGGGAGGGTTTTTACACTGAAGGGTGTAAAACAGTAACAGTACACAGTAAACTACACAGTAAACATCTGTAATATCTACCCCAGAGCCACACACCCCCAGACACAGCAATATGGTCTTTTTTTGCACATGTGCACTTACATCTGTTCTTGGTAGATAATAAAAAGGCTGATACAGAACCAGTCACATAGAACAAACCCATAGCTTTAAAAGAACAGTTAACAGATGTTCACAAGGATCAACACACCCACATGGCACAAGTACTTACTCAATGGAGTGGTAACTCTAAGGACTAGGTTTTATCCGAAGGCAGATACCTTTGTATCAGTGATACTGGATTGTACTGGAGCAGATGGCAGTGAATTTCAGAGTTCATCTGTATGTCATTTTACTAAAGTAATTAATCAAATGGCTTAGCATATAAAAATACAAGAACGCTCCCTCCTAATTAGAGCAATTTGCGTTCATGTAGAAGTGAAAGCACACACACGCATACACGTATCAGAGACAGGATTGCTGACAGAGAGCTTACAGGATAAAGAAAAGAAACTCACTTTCCCTGTCCCACACCAGGACATCATGTTCTCCCTCCTGTCTCCAGGGATAATGGAGTCTCTCACCTTTGGTGCATAGTTATATTCAAAAGCCAAACAGCAGCTTGGAATTTGTCCTGAAGGGAACCAGGACAAGGCACCTTTAAGGATAATAAGGCAGATTGAGTACCTCTGCTGCAGAGACTCCTTGTGCCTTAGGGGTGGTCCTGCTGTCCCTGAATCTAGAGGGATTCATCAAAATCTAATCAAAATCTTCACCCTCACAAAGCAGTGAGTGAGTCAGTCTCAGTTTGCCATAAACAAGAAGCAATTCAGAAAAAGAGGCTCATCTCCCATTAGCAGAGGTACGCTCAGCTATCTGTAGTGCTACGCATGGTCTCCCATCCTGTGCAGTACAGGCTTTGTGGATGACCGTATGGAAGTGTAGCCAGGATAGTGACAGAGAAAGTCTAAAGAAGACTATATTCTTAAAAGACTGCAATATTCATGGGATGGCAACCACATTACCTCCACAGTGGTCTTCAGGGAAGTAATGTCAACAAGAGTGCCTGTTGTGGGGCAAAGCAGGGAGGCAGCCAGGGCTGGGCTAGCTTGGTCATAATTATTTGGCTTATTCAGAGTAAAATGTCATTAAGGTATTGCCTTAATGAAGTAGGGTTTTCTTCAGCCCAGCCCATCCTCCAAAGTTGAAGCTACATCTTCATCCCCTCATAACAGGATGTGAGACAGCCTACGTCCTCACGTGGGACTGGAATATCTTTAAGTATGTACTGTAGGAGCCTGGTCCTGCTGGGGTCTGGGCAGACTCCAAGCAGACTCTGCAAGAAGGATAGAGAAGGAAAACTGATCAAAAAAATGAGGAAGTTTGCTTCTGCATCAACATTGACCATCTAAGAAACCACATTTTTCTCGTGGGAGGCACCATGTTATAAGAATAGTGTGAGCACGTAAAATGCCTCTAGTTATAGCCAATGAGTTTTAAAAATGTTCCTTTACTGCTGTGTTACTGAACATGATCATCTTAAGAGGACCAGACCAAACCCCTATGCTGCTCAGGAGATATCATCTCTATCAGAAGTCCACAGGCCACTGAAAGCTCAGGAAATTACATTAATGCACACCAGCAAAGGCCCTGGCCCATCCATTTTGTGGCATTCCTTCGGGTTCTTAAAAAAGCTACAATCCAAACCAGTTATATTTGTAGTATTTTTTAGGATTAAGCTCAATTCTTTCTGTGGGGATGTAATCCAGGGGGATTCAGGCATGTGTAAACACTTTCCTTCAGAGAAGATTTCTCTTGGTAATTTCTTTCTGCAACATGCAACTGCAATTAACTTAAGTTGCACCGACATGCCATATGCAGTTTAGCTTCGGTTACTAATTACATGCTTACAAAAGAAGCGTATTACTTTCTCAGCGTTGCTACCAGAAGGCACAAGCGAAAGCTATCCTAAGGAACATCTAATACCGAATTTCTTGGTCTCTGTGGCTTAAAACCACACCGTTAACATTGCATTACAACAGCGTTGGCTCAAAATTCATTTCCTCATGCTGGTTCCTGTCGGTAGGCCTGCTTGCCTTGCAAACAGCATCTGTGGCCTTAGGAAAGATAAGTATAAATGTTTCTTGAGCAGGGCTTCAAGTAAGAGCAGATGGCCTGCTGAAATGTCCACAGTCCTCACCTCCTGCTGGCACTCAGATCAGTGGTTAAAGCCAAATGAAATTTCATAGCTGCTGAGGATGATATATCTGCTGACACTAAGATAGAATTTGATAAGTAAGCATACCATGAACTCTTCAATGGAAGAGATTTTCTTCCTTTTCTATTAAAAAATCCATCCTAGAGGGAAGATAACTCTCCTACTTCCACACTTCTCCCCTTCCATTCCTCCAAAAAGCAAAGTGATCATCCTGCACTAACATATTATTAATACTCTGGTATCCGTACTCAAATATATTTATAAACCCCCAGATGTTAATTTTCTTAGGTAGGTGATTGTTGTTAGCTAACAACAAGCTTGGCTTCAGGATTCGAAGTCTGCTCCTAGCCTGCTTGATTGTTCTTTGCGTGACTTGAGATAGTGTTCTTTCACCTTTTTCTGCATGCATTCACTTCTGCATTCTGTGAACTGGTGCCTGCTGGTCACAAATGTCTGTAAAGACCCCATGGGGAGAATGAATACCATGTTAACATTAACTTCCCAAGCTAGTGCTCAGATGTGAGGACAGAGAGCTACGGGAGCCAAATAAGGCGCTTGATCACTTCTCATCAGACTTGAAATATTCAGTGGCAACTGTCTCAACGTGTTACCCAATGTCTGGAAAAAGTTTCAGATCATTTGTCATACCCTTTTTGCTCCGCCCTGAAACTGAAACAGCAAGTGAACGTAGCTTTCACCAATATGCTTGCATAGATAACAAGGTCGTCTTTGTCCTCAGAGAATAATGGCTACCATGCATTTATCTGAGGAGCATTTGTCCTAGCTATCCTGCAAGGAGGAATGTGGGTCAATCCCCGATTCAGAACTGTACCGTTATTTCTCTATGGTTATGGCTAGCAGCCAGCAGCAGCTTATCAGAGCCCCATGCTGGCACGGTGCATGCTTCGTTGTTGCTCAGTGACGACGCACTTCAGAAACATCAGCACTCTGTGTCTGCCTCTCCCTGCAAATCCTGGCCAGTCAGCAGGCAGGGATATGCATTGTCTCTGTTACAGGCTGGACAAATGTCTTCAGTCTTTTTGATGCTATCTGTATCAAAATGCCAAAGAAAAAATGCTTCCTTCAGTGTTTTAGCTTCTTTATCCACTTGCTTACCCTGTCCTCTGTGATGCTCCCCCTGCAACCCTCCAGCTCTTCCTCCTTCTTCTCCACCTTTTCAACCACAGTACCAAGACAACTTGATTTTTTAGTTGAAAATCTCTTTCTTCCATTGAAACTAGACAGAAACAAATCTGTCAAGGCTCCTAGTCACCATCCATGGTGAGGTCTGTTATTTTACCTGAACCTAAGCTTTCATGGCATCCCAGGTAGAGATGGAAGGAGGCAGATATAACAGGGCACTGTGCCCCCCTTGACTAAATCACGTCCACTTTTTGAAATGCAGCTCACTGACACTAGCTCCCCTTTTCTCCCTGAGTTAGTCCAGCAAATCCATATTGTTGGATCTCCTTTCTGTCACAGTCATTCATACTCTAGCTCAATGCAACTCTGAATTCATGATGCATACTTAATTATTTGATTCCTTTCAGATTTTTTAAAAGTTCATTATTTTTTAAGATTTAGTGGACTGTGTCTTAAGAGTGATTTCCTAACACTGTGACTCACTATCCTCCACACTATTGCCTGTGAGAGACAGATAAGTATCTGTAAACTTAATTTACAGAAAAGGAAGCACAGGCAGAGGATTTATGTGGCCTGCCTAATTCTGTGCTGTTCATCAGTCACAGGATCACTTGTTACAGGCAGGTCTATGAGTGATTATGAACTGCCACAGCCCAGTTAAAAATCAATGAAGATGTGACATTTTTCCTTTGGTGAGAGTTTGTCTTTTAGTCCTTTGACTTTCTACCTGAAGCCCATTGCTCACTGCCTGTGGGAGGGTCAGGGATAAAAAAAGATGATTTCCAACAGGAAGATGCTTTCCAGTGGCTGCAGAAATGTGCTGTGCTAGCAGAGGACCAGTGTGAAGATTCAGCCTGGATGGCTGACCAGCAGTGCAAATCTTTGTGGAAAGAGGTGGTGGTTTCGCACCTTTTGCAAGCTCTTGAGGACATAACCTACAACATACGGCAGGGTGGTCAGTCACAAAGATACCAGTGCCTTGGACTCGACTGAAAGTGGAACTGCCTAAATGCCTCAGTTTTCATTATTGCTGCTGTAGAGTATGGAGGAACCACAGAAGAATGAGTCTAAGAATGGTGACACTGGGTCATGTCCGTCTCTGGCACTGGCCACAGCAAATGCCTGGGGAAGAGTACAGGAACAGAGCAGCACATATGAAACCTTCCCACCCCTCATACTGCCACCCCAGCCTCTCACCATCTCCAGCTCAGGGCATCACCTCTTCAGGCAGTAACAGGGCTGCCCAGAAAAGACAAAGCAGAGGTTGTTTCACCAACTGATTTGGTACTTTGGCCGGCTCCACATTTCTGTTATGTCCGAAGGACACAGTCCTGTTTGTCACATCCCTGCAGCGGAAGCCCTGCTTTTGGCCCTAGTCTGTTTTCAACACAAAAGCCACCCTGATTGCAAGAGCTGTCCCCAGGAGGGTTTCAAGTCCTTTGCAATTACTGAATGTTGTACTGCAATTACCAACACACCAGCCGAGACCCAGCTAAAGCTCAGTTCCTGGGAATAATGGATCTTAACTAAAAATATCCCAATAGCAGCCAAGTGCTGGCACCCTCCATCACTCGCTACAGCTTTTCGGGCATCCATAGCCACATCTCACAGCACAAAACAGGCACCTTTCTCAGGACAAGAGACAGATACTGCTCCACACTCTCAGAGCAACACTTATAAATTACTAAGTGTCACAAACCTCTGGTGAATTAAGGACAGGAGCAAGGCAGAATGCAAACTACTTTCCCAGGGACCAACTGGAGCCCTCAAAACTTTGTCCACTCCCCCATTTATATCTGAGCCACTGATACATTAAAAAAGCATAGGGCATTCCAGGAAATGCGATGAAATCAGGCAGTGATGGATAAAGCATGGAGTGGAAAGCCAATCCTGGAGAAGAACAAATAAAAGGTAGTCCAAAACAATCAAAGAAACTTCACTGAAAAAGAGAAGTTAAACGTGAAAGAATAAATGGCATCAGAGACAAAATGGGATTTCATATGCCAAAGGCTTGCAAGACTTTTCCATATTCCCAAATCTTTCTCCCAAAAAGCAATTGCTGTACTAGAGGGTAGGACATGAGTTGTTTGTAGCCTGCTTTCCTAAAGAGAGAATTTGTACCTTCCAAAAAAAAGACTAAAAACAAAAATAGTGTTTTCTAGATGGAATTTATTCCCTCTTGAAAAAAAAAAAAAAAAAAAAAAAAGGCAACTAACTTGAGGTTTCGAATTTACAGTCATGCTGGGAGAACATAAACATACATCCGGTCAAGAGACACTGGAGTTAAGTACCACACCGGCACCAGATCTGTGGAGTGCCTGGGTGAGAGCAGAGGAGGTACAACCGGCTGCACCTGCACTGCTCCCGAGCACCTTCTCAGCTCACAGCCTCTTGGAGTGAGGCTGCGTGGGGACCCAAAAGAGGAAGCTCCCAGTGTAACACATTGCACTGTAGGTCAAGGATGACATCTAAAATCCACATCCTTCAACAGCCCTTTCATTTTTCTCCCAGTGGCCTTACCTGAAGACCTTGACCACTTGAAGCAAATGGCAAGTCTTCTATCTCATTGGGCTTTTGATCAGGATTCATGTTGTTACAAGGGCAGTTATTGGAATTTTTACAGTCCGAGAGAGTGTAATATTGGATCTTTTACATTTCTACCTTAAGAAAAAAAATCTGAAGCCAGGTGGAGAACCCTAGAAGATGCAGGACAGCCATCGTGAGGAATGGGAACAAAAAATGTAATTTCTGACACAGATGATATAGAAAAGACCAAGATGTTCTGACAAGCAGTAGTTAGCCACCGTTCCTGCTTCCACGGAAAACTCTGGGATCCCTCTTGCTGTGCACGAACAACAAAAAAACTGGCACCTTTGTAAGTCTGAAGTAGGGCTTCTGTAAGATTTCTGGCAGGTTAAGACGCAAATATTCCTGGTTCACATAAATCCTATGGCACCTGTTTCCAGGAGGAGTGTTAGATTTCCTTGGTTAAATTCCTGCTACAAGAATGATCTGGCCTCCTTAAATCTGACTGCTCTAACAAGCTTTACATGGGACTAGACATGCACATTGATGCAAAATGTGGCAATCCACTAGTGGGGACTGGGAGAGGCATTCTTCAGCAAAGACTTAGAGCTTCTGTATTGCTGCTGGAAAATACTAAGAAGACTCTGAGGTATTGGTTACCATTTCCTGGGATCCACTGTCAGAAAGAATGTGCCACAGCCTATGGCACGCTGCTACAAGGACGAGGTGCATTCAAGCTGCAGCATCACAGGGAAGAAAGATAAATAACAGCAATGGCAAGGTGCTGCCTGCAAGGAAGCCCAGCCTTTGGACTTGCTTAGGCAAGTACTTTTACCTGTGGGCAGCAACAGCTTTGGGGTGAAAAAAATAAAAACTGAGAAATGTTCTAGTCCAACGTGGTGCTGTGATGCTTCACTGTAATTGTCATTTGAGTGCTGCCTGCTCTCATGTCCTGATCCCATCTGCTTGTGTCATGGTGAAAGAGAGCGTCAGAGGGGCTAAATGTCTGATGGGGGATAAAATGCAACTGCAGAACCCAGCCCACAGGGAACAGTCATGATTTTCAGCTTCCTTGAGACATCCATATACTGCTTTAAAATCTAAGTATTTGGGGTTCTGGTGCATTCAGAGTTTTCAAAGAAATACTTAGAATTGTTTAAAAAAAAAAAAAAAGAAGAAAAAAGCTTTTGTTGAGAACCATTTTTCAAACCTCCACCATTTTGCAAAACACCTCTTATTTGTTGACTTTCATTGTCAGCTATAAAGCACACTTCTGGTTTCCTGAGTTGAAAGGAGTTGGGAAGATTCTAATGGGAAGAAATGCAAAGTTTCAGTGGGTCTTGATCTGTTAAAAATGAAATAAATACTGGGCAAAGGATGACCCTAGAAAATTGTGTGTTTGTCTCCTTCCATTTTGAAGAAGAGTCAAGGAATGACCAAGTTTCATGGACATGGTTATAGATTTAAAAGAAATTCCTTTCTCAGTGGGTTGATGTTCTTTCCTAGCCCTGCTGCACAAGATTAAACAGCCGGTAATGATGCACTCACTGTGTTTTCCCTCAGAGGTAGCCACACCTTATTCTGAACATCTTTTTGCAAAATTCATTGTGTCCCTTTACCAGGAAGGATGCTTTGCAAATGAAGGCTGCTGCTGCTATGAAATTGGAGCTGCCTCTTCCTAGTGCTGTGAACACAAACATCAGCAACTGGATATCTTTCCAAGATAGCTTCCTCTGAAGCAAGAAAGGAGAAAGAAAAAGGGAGACTTAACATTACTTTACATCAAGGCTAAGTGTAAATATATATTGCTGAATTAACAGGGTGGAGACTGACCATATGAAACCACCTTGCTAAAGCAGCCAAGGGAAAAGCGTCACAAGTCCAGGCTGATCTTGGCATATGCACAGACATAACTTTGTAACTATTTGCTGTCCAAAAAGCCAAGATAAAACAACAGGATCTTTGCAATGAGTTTGCTGGACTTTGTTCAGGTTTGGGGTACAAATTCAAGCTGTATGTTGTAAAGGAAAAAAGGTGGAGTCAGAATCCAGAAGCACGTGGGTCAGCCTCAAGCACAGGTTACCATCTGCCACTAAGCATTACCCTGGCCCAGCACCACCCAGAATTACTAAGTGTAAGCTGCTGCCAGAAGGACATTTATAGCAGGACCAAACTCCTAGCAGGAACAGGTATGCAGCTGTCCCAACACATGGAGATCACTGAACTACACAGGGTCATAAACTCACCTCTTCTCTTCCCCTTTCAAGCCAACACTCAGACTTGCCTGTCATCAGTTCCCACATGATGGGTATTCAGATTTCCCCCACATCCCATTCAATTTTGCTGGAAAATGGACATGACTTAACTTGCTTGAACTGACCCATTCAATAAACATAAGCAGGACATGGAGTGCTAGTAAAGGAGCACGCATATTTTCACGAAGGACTTCTTGATGATGTCACAGGCAAGCCTCTTTCAGACATATTTATGCTGTAACAGGGGGTTTTCAGCCCCAGAGGGATTACTTAAACAAAAATAGTGTTTCCTCTGAATTTTTTCCTTAACAGCTTGGTTAGAGGAAAGGAGAAAACGAGTCCTTGATCTGTTTAGTCCCAAAGTTTGGGAGTTACTCACCAAAAGGCAGGAAAGCTGCTATGAGCTGCGATGCAGTGGGGAACGGAACAAGGGTTGGACTCCTATAAGCTATTAATCAGATATAAAAAAAAAAAAAAAAAATTAAAAAGAAGCAGCTAGGTTTCAGAATATCTTTGACATTTTTAAGGGATCAGAGAACAGGAGAGCAAGGGGAGTGGGATCAAAATGTTGCTTTGTATCGTGTCTGTAATGGTCAGTAAGTGTTTTCAGGCCAGAAAATAAATTTAAGCAACATTTTCATCCACTCTGGTTTTTCTAGACTGCATCTCCATTCAAAGAGCAGCACAATAAGCTTATTAATTTTTCCTTACAATAAGCATGTACTGTGTTTGTCTACTTCCCCATTTCAACCTATATGATCCTTTACTAACAGAAGTCTTGTTAAACCAGAATCCTCAATGGCATTGTTTTCACATACATGTATATGTGTGTGCATGTGCAACACATATAGATGTATACATATGATTATCAAAATACTATTATAAAGCGAGTGTTCTTTCTCAATACCCATTCTCTGCCCACCCCACCTCCCTCCCCTTCCCCAGGCCAGCGTATTTCAAAACAGACTGGAACTGAAAACTTGCAAGAGCCACGCAGCCCTTGTTAGCACTGCAAACGTCTGGGCGTGTTAACAAGTCCCCGGTCCACCCCTAGGACGTGTGTTGATGAATGGCCTCTAGTTCACAATACTGATTCCTTGGATTCAGGGTCTGCTGTGCTGGTTGTGTTGGAGACTTGGGTTTTGTGGGTTACCAAAGGCGATGTTTCCCCTTCAGACTTGCTGTTAGCAACTGCTTCTACGCTGACTTCCTTTAGCTCCTGCTCTTTGTCTTTCTTTTCTTTTTCATTCAGGTAATTAAGGATGCCTGCTCCTAAGGCATCCCCTTCCACATTCACAACTGTGGTGGTTCGGTCCCTGGTTAAGATCAGAAACAAAAAACAAAGCAGCAGGCTTTTAGCTTAAGAGAGTTACAACACAACAAGGGGAGCTGATTCACCCCTGCTAATCCACTAATATCAATGGAGCTAGACAAGGGAGATGTTGTTACCATAGGTATTTTCCACAGAAGTATCATCAACATTTCAGAACTAAAAATGTGCACTGGAGCTGGTCTAAGGTCAGCCCAAATGTTACTATCAATTGGTTCTGGTGTCTCGGTGGGTTGCAGCAATGGTACTACTCTTTCTCAGGCATCCTTTTTTTCCCAGCCCACCTCCTTCTCCAGGCCAGCATTTTTCAAATGTGAGTTCAGAGCAGGAACTTAATTTGTGCTTATCCAGAAGGTGAATCAGAGCACCCAGCTCTCTTTTTTAACTACACAGACTTGTACCTTAATGCAAACACCTACTTAAGGGGTCCTTCCAAAAGCAGGCAGAATGACTGTGTTCTCTGGATTTCTTGCAAGTAACACCTGTCCTAATCTTTGGTTCTGCAACACAAAAATACTGTGACCCAGGGTCCAACAGGGAAGGCTTATGGGTCACAAAGAAGGACAATTTCTTCATGTGCCTTTTGAGACCTCTGTTAGTCATTCCGCAGCCTAAATTCAACATGTGCTCTACTTCTAACTGTGGTCTTCTCTGGTAATTAAATGGCTGGCATTAAAACAAGACACAGGACTCTTCCCTTCCTCCCCCGCTTTGAAGGGAAGGGCAAGCTTTTCAGTCTTGCCTCCAGGCACTTGTGAGTACAGCCTGTGGAAAGCACAGCCGCTACTGTAATCCCTGATGAAGACAGGATGCAAAGAGCTAGCCACTGCTTTGCCTCTCTCTCCTGTCCTTTGGAGGCGGCTGATGCCCAACAGGTGACAGCAAGAAAGAGTTTGATAGCCCTAGTGAAGCCATAAGAATACAATTATTCTCCACAGACACTTTTGATGTGGGAAGTGAAAGAGGTAATACAGCTGCCACCTTCTGCAGCCTCTGGAATTCAAGAGTGTCCACAGGCATCCTGATTTCCATATCTGCTGTGGAACTACACCATCTGCACAGAGAGGCTGGTGTCTCCAAAAAGCAACGCAGAGGGATTATGTAGTCTAAACCAGGAGCTGCCCAGAAACCCAACTGGAAAAAAATCCCAATGGAATTCAGATCACTTCACCCATACTGACCAGTCATTTCAGCCCACTACCCAACTTCAACCAGATGGCTTGAAAGCAGATTATGCTTTTAAATTACCAGATCATGCTTACTTCACTAGCATTTAAACTCTAAGCATGCTGTAATTCATGAGTGCTCAGAGAAGTCCTTCCAGTTTGATTTTCTAGCATTTGAAGAACAACAGCCAGCCGTGCTTTTTTGAGAGAAAGTGGAGACACCCTTTTGCATGGGGCTCATCTAAGTTGTAAGAAATCACCTGCATGTGGTATTTACACTTATCATGCACTTATGGCTGGGTCCCCAATACTTACAACAGAACGGTTTTCTAGGCTTTCCTTAATCTGATTTAGGTGGTACAGAAGGTAAATTTAGGCCTTAACAAGGACATAACTACGCTAAATGGCGAGATAAGCTCTTCCAAACAGAGCTGGGCAAGGAGACAATCTCTTGTGTTTCAAGGAGGTGAATGGCTCTTGGAAAGAAGAGAAGGAGCTGAGCAAAGGTCTGACCTCTTGCCTCTTTCCCAGAAGATAGAAAGGAAAGGTGGTAATACTGTGTACTAAACTTGTGACTCCCAGCAGTGTGTTCCAGCCGTGACACTGCCCACAGCTGTGATGAGTGCCACAAACCCTCTGTGTCCTTGCCCTGCCAATGGGCAGCACCTGTCTGTGATGCTTGTATTGGTGCTTTGACCAGTCTTGAACTACAAAAATAGCTCCAACAATAACTGACAACATCTTCTGATGGGGACTGCTTCCCACATGTGACCAAGAAAGCTTTCCACCGCTATTCAGACTCAATTTCTTTTTTCTCCCACTTCCCTCCTAGTGTCCAACTGATTTCCAGCAATATCAACACCTTCTGGACAAACTTTTAACAATCATTCTAAATGGAACTGAAATGAGGAAGAAATAAGTTTCAATAAAGGCTGAGTAAAAAAGCTGAAGAGGGATTTTAGCACACTAACTGCTTTAATTGAGAAGGGACCTCCTTTTCCATTATCTGTCAAGAGCTACTTGTCCTGTGGGCAGCCATATCTTGTAGGGTTTTATTTTATACTGCACTACTTTGACTACCCTGCCCCATGTTTCCAATTGAACATGCTTTATGTCATGCAACAGCAGATACGTGAGGCCTAAAGTACTTACACAATCCAGTCCACCGCTAATATCAAGGAGAGATCGTTGGTTGGAAGTCCAATGGCCTCCAAGATGATAGCAATGGTGAGGACTCCTCCGGCTGGGACCCCGGCTGCACCCACGCTGGATGCGGTAGCTGTCACACTGCAAATCAATTTGTGTACCTGGTTAGCAGGAGCTCTGCAGCATTCCTCTTCTACACTTACGTCACACATTTCCCTGCTATGGGAACTGTAAACAAACTCTACAGCATGGGACACGCAGATCATTTGCTTCCCAGACAAACCCTTTCCTGCCTGCTGATGAAAAGTAATAGGTACAGAGTACAGTTGCTCAGCAGGCATCCACAGCAGCTACCAACCCAACGGGTCTGTGTTTAATACCATGATTGCCTTTTCAGAAAAAAACCCAACCAGCACAACTATATTCTGCTGCCTTACTAATATATCTGTTTCCAAGTCATGTATCAGTTCAAAAACACTGAGTACAGTATACCTCCTGGCCGCAAATGTATAAAGGTAAACCCTGCCATGCAGGTGTCTCGTTTGCTTTCTCATTGGCATTGCAAACCTGCTGTGCGTGTGCTATAGACACGGACCACACACCTTTTCGTGTGCAGATGTCTACAACTGAGTTTTCCTCAGGCTATCACTGCATAATCTTCTGGCCTGTGTTACGACCTGATTCACTAAGAGTACCTGAAAGGTTAATTTTGCCATCTGCAATGAAAATAATGCCCCAGCCCTGCCTTAAATAGACAAACAATATACTGGGAAATGGAACAAGGAAGGAAATAAAACCTGGCCAGGGAGGGTAAAAAAATGCCAGGAACCAGCTCTAGGAGGCACCTAGTGGATACAGCTATGGCTTCTTGGCACAGTGAGGGGCTAGAACTCCTTGTAGGATCCTCATTTAAGGAGTTTTGAGGAGGGAAATTAAAATAATAACACTTCATGGGATATGGGAGGATATTCCAGGGATGGAGGGGAGAGAGTCTTAGAGAAGGAGGCAGGACTTAGGTGGTGGAGGGAGTAATGGAGCAAAGCAGTCAGGAGGGGAATGATAATGGGTCTCACCTGGGAAGCCAGCAATGCGATGGTAGGAAGGACAGAAGCAGGAGCAGAGTCTTTAGTATGAAATTGATACATACAAAACTGGCAGGAGGTTTTTTCTAAGACATCCAGAGGGGGAATCAGGAGTAGCTTTCTGGATAGAGCAGCATGCCTCAGTTACTCAGCTTAATGGTGAGTGGGGGAGTGAGATGCTTAAGGAAGGAGAGGAATTTCATGTGAGAAACAGCTTCAAACAGCTCAAAGTCTGTTTCAGAATTCAATTACCCCTCCCAGGTTCCACCTTTTATTAAATCGAAATTCTGGCAAATCTTATAAAGCTTGAAAGACTCCATCCTTTAATCACCCTATAATTATGTTTCATAGCAGTTTGCAAGCTTTAGGTCAGAGATGTGGAATGCAAACTGCTAGCTATTAACAGAGAGACCACAGGCTTGAATGTGTCTGGGGGCCAGGAGGATGTGGTTGCAATAGCAAGCAACTTACAGAATTGTGAAGATTTGCCCAGGGTTGAGGTCAACATTGTTCAGCTGAGCAATAAACACAGCTGCCATGCACTGAAAAATAGCAGCTCCATCCATGTTTACAGTTGCCCCGATAGGAAGGATAAACCTGCTGATCCTCTTGTCGACTCCATTGTTGTCCTCAATACACTTCATCATCGATGGGAGAGTGGCTGAGCTAGAAACAGAGAACAGGGAAAAATCAAACACAAAGCATCAGGGTGCACTGAATGGAAAGTCACTCTCCCATGGCTTTCGTTTTTTTAACATGATGCAGACAGGACTGTCAAGACAATGATGCCATTTTATAATCCCTCTCTGTCATGATAGCAATGAGGGACCCTCCTTGTTGGTCTTGAGCAGTGGTATTTAATAATCTGCTTCCATCCAGGAATAGCTGATAAGGACTCTAATCTCCCAGATGCAAGAACGCATGACTTAACACAGTATGCAGCCTAACAGGGCTGTGGAATGATCAAGTCTCAAACCACAAAAATACACCAACAGATGCCAATATAAACACAATAGATGCAACAGCAATCTCTGTTAAAATTGTACTAGTACCTTCTCAAATGAACAGACAAATAATAATAATTAAAAAATCACTGTTGCATTTATTTCTTGCATTATAAATTACATAGTTTTATTCATAAACCCTCTCCTCCTACTTCATGTACTTCAGATCCTGTGACAGACATGCATCTGTTTCTGGAGATGACCTGAAATGATTCTATATAGTTATGATATTTGATCAGGTGTTTGCCCCTTGAGCAAAAAGTATAAATGACATGCTTGATAGTTTGGTTATGACAAATTAAAGCTGATCAGGCCAGATCTTTGAAATCAATGACGTTAAGTCCCTTTACACTAGCTAGTAAGTCTGCTTTGCTCTTGCAAAATTAGCCTAAACTTGTTCCAGATCCTTCTGAACTTGGAGAACTAAAATTCTCAGGACAAAGTCCCTCACTACTGACCCTCACTTTATTTAAAACTTAAAGGACAGCTTGCAGGATCTTTTTAAGGCAAATACTTTCACCTTTCCCCCCCAAAATTTCCAACTCAGCATCATGCTACAGTCCCAGTATTTTGAGGAATTGTTTTCAACAGCTAATGATCAGTATGTGCTGTGTGGCAGGCTGCTGACAGCAAGGAGACTCTGTATGCTCAGAAGTCTCTTTTTGCAATCTCAGGAACAATATTCACACCTAAACTCAACACAATTTGGTGTCGGGATATAGCCGATATTGTTATATTCATCTGGTTATAATCCCAAAAGAAGCACAGGAACCCACCTGGAGGAAGTTGCAAAAGCAGTGGTAAGTGGTGTGATAAGTCCTAAGAGAAAACGATATGGATTTTGACGCGTGGATGCAAAATATATAAGCGGCAGAATGATTGCTCCATGGATGAAGTGGCCCAGAATAGAGGCGAAAATGTATTTTCCCAGACTGGTCACCAGAAGTACAATATCTTCCATTTCCACGATCTTGCTCCCAACAAGGAACGTAATGCCAATAGGTACATACCTGTGTAAAGAAATATTGCCTGTCATTAAGTACAAACAAAAAGCCTTGAAATGTATGCCATTTTCTGTCCTGGAGATGTGTTGTTCCTACTGAAGGGGTAGTGCCTTATTCACCACACACTCACGTTAAGCAAATTTGGAAGGCTTACCTAACGCTCTTGCTTGGAGGATGGCAAGCTGTTGAACTGAAAAGGCTCTGTTTACCTAGGCCCTCAAAAGACACAGCCAGGAGAGTGCCAAAGGGAAGCCAAGTGGGAAGCAGAAATGCTGGCAAAAGCTATCAGGACAAGACACCAGTGTGGAATATTAGTCCATCAGGGAGGAAGGCAGGCAAAGACCTAAAGCTAAAGTCACTGCTGAAGGGACAGCAGATGGTAGGAAAGAAAAAGGAGCAGTATTATGTCACTGGAGCAGAGAAAGGGACGGAAGAGTAGGATCTTACACATGCAGTGACTACCAGCAAAGTATGAAGTTAGATCATTAAAATGGTAGACATAGCGGGTGCCAACATATTCAGTGTAGGAAAGAAAAAGCTATGCCCATACCAGAGAGCTCAGCTAAAGGCTGCTGATGCACGTGCCAAAGATAGCAATTAACTCTGCTATTTGGCTACAAAAGACTAAGTTAAATGATCAGTCTTCCAGAGCTTTCCTCAAGCCAACAGCCATGTACACGTACATTCACGTGCCTCCCATCTAGAAACATGCCACGTCGGACGTCAGCATTTGTTTGAGGTTTTCTTTGTGAGGAACACTTGGAGCTGCTCCAGGGGAAGGGCCACCTGCGGGCCACAGCCACACCTCTGGTCCCAGTAGTGCAGCTGGGAACAGCCCTGAAAAGACAGAATTGCCCTTGCACCCACAGTGCAACAGCTACTAAATGAACGGCAGGAATCACTTCAGGCCCAGGGTCCGTTCCTCCAAAGCTCTACTTGGGATGTCTGTGTCTGAATACCTCTGCTGATACTGTCCACGCTCCATCCATTTCTGCTTCTAAGATTAAGAAACACTAAAAGATCACCCAGCTCTCCATAACCCTGCCCCAGGCACACATATGACTACAAAAGATCTGCCTGTAGATCTCAAGAATAACGAACGTTTTTTTCTCCCACTCTCCCCTCCAATTCAATGCCCATGTTCACAGAAACTGACCTGTTCAGTCAGGACAAACTTCAGAAGGTTTGGTTCAGCATGCAAATGTGTGGAAAGGTGGGCAAGCCTTAAGGTTGCCCAGATCACTCGCTTCTTTCTAGCCTGCCTCTCCCTCGGTGGTTCTGCACCTCCTCTGTTCTGTGCAGAGAGCACCTTCCTATGTCCCAGATCAATGTGAGCATCCTCTCTCTGTCCTCCCTTGGCCAAATCTCTAGGAGGGCTTGTTGAACCTTCCCCACTTAGCCTCCGCCAATTCGGCAACATACTGCCTTTGAAATATGTTTCTGAGCACCCCAATTAGCCAGATCTAGCTGAGCCTAACCAGTCCTGCAGAAGCTCTGCAAACATGAACACTGGATTCAGAGCTGAGACTGGACCCCTCCCATGAAGAGGGAAGCTGGAGATGAAGGAACTGAAAGTTGAGACCAAAGTGCTGCTAAACATGAGAGCGGCTGTTGAATGGGACTAGATACAACTCAAGTTGCCTTGTCTCCTGGCAGTACGATTTCACCCATTCACAGTATCCCTTGGGAAGTACATGCAGCTTGACAGATTTTTAATAAATACCAGGATGACACAAGAGCCTTAAAGAAGGAAAGAGAACGAGTAAGGGCTACAGTGCACTGCAGTATTAAGAGTCAGCTGTGGTCCTGATAATCCACAAAGTAAAGGCTTATATACCAACTGATTGGCTTGAAGTGTTAGCACTGTAATCAGCTGAATACAAGAACTGCCTCTTATCAGTATTCAGTGTCCAAGGAGTTACACTCAAGAGTAAAAGACTTAAGCTGCTTTGAGACTTTGAATTTTTCAATCCCTTATGACAGCAACCAACACAGATCTGCCTGTGTAAAATCAGGTGTTTTGTTAAAACCTTTTTACTTCTTAGAGGAAGGAAAATAGTAGGAATGAAAAATGCAGAATGGAGAAAAAATACCTCCGCTAAGATAAACTTACAGGTTTTCCAACAGCTTTGGAAAGGGAGTAAGAAATGTCCCACTGTTAATTTGTTATCTAGCTGTCCTTATGAATATTTTTTTTTTTTGCATGTGAGGTATTACTACTGTTTGTTTCACAGGAGCAGCCTAGACCCATCCAGCTGCACAAGAACAGCCATGATACAGCTCTGAGGCCCAGATTCATCCCACCTGACAGAAAACCTGGTCAGGAGGTCCTACCACAGCTTAGGTGGCCTGAA